AAATGTTCTTAAATAAATAAATATAATAAGATTTCAATATATACCTATTTGACGAATTTTATTTTTAGAATAACCAAAAAGAAATTACGAAGATTATTGAATATTCACATTATATTTACAGTTATTAATTATTACACATCGCTGTAATGTAATTCTCGTTTAAATTGTAACGTTACAATATTTAGGCATAGGCATATCTATAATTATCAAATACTATTAAACAGTACAATTAAATTATAATTAAAACACACGCAGCGGTGGCGGTAAAATGAAGCCGGACATATTTTACCAACGACAAAAGAATTTTAYTGCCACCGTTGCAATGTATGACAACCTAAATGGTGAATAGTTATACACATTAGAGCACATTTCAGTACCTRTTTTTAAAGTTAAGTGAACATAATTTTTAGATTTTTTGAAAATGGATGATAGTGACAATGAATCTTCTGCAGTATCAAAGGCTAGACGTTTATATCGTTCTTGTACGGCAACAGGTGTGTTTTATTATTATATTATCTCTATAATAGATATTACTTAATTAAATAGGCGACATTCCTTATCAAATACTATTTTCATGTTCAGGTGAATCGAACACAGACTGGAGTAATCAATTACTTCAGATCTTAAACAAAATTGGTTTGCCGTTTGAGATGATTTCTAATAGAAAAGAAGCATCAAGTCTCTCGTCAATTCTAGCCAGAATAAAAAAGCAAATTAACTTAGACTATTTGTTTGTAACTGAAGTCATATCAGATGTAAAAAATCGGTCAATTAATCGAATTAGTCTAGGTAAACCAAGTCATACAAGTATATTTCGAGTGTAAGAATTTAAATATTTTTTTATTCTGTTTACGACAAGTTAAATTACTTATTTTTTCAATTATATAGGCATAAAATAACAGAAATAAATAAGAAAATGAGTTCAAAACAAATGCTTAATACTCAAGAAATAAATAAAAAAGCAGGTAACACAAGTGATCGCGAAGAATATGTAGATAGAAATAATTATTTCAAATCGTATGAAAAATATGTCAACGACATTGTGGAAGAGATTTATAAATTACATTCAAATGATTGTAAAATATATGCCCCAACTCTTAACACTGAAAACATAACACAACTATTAAGTTTCAAAGATGAATATTCAAAAGTAATTAATTAATTAACCATTATATATTTATATTGTTACTTTTCTTTATAATGATACCGATGAATAATTAATTGTAGATAATAATAAAAAAATATAATACTGCTGTTGAATCGCCATTTATTATGACTGTCGATGAATTACAAAATTTTACAAATAATATTACACAGAATTTCACTAAGGCAAATGACCAAATTGTGAGTAATTTATCATTATTTTACCTCTAACAACTCTGGAAATATATTTTACAAATACATTAAATTTATACTTACCAATCACAACKTAGAATCTTACAATTCATTTTAGTACTTGCATTTAGTGAGTAATGATTATTTTAAATGAGTAATAATAAATTCGATTTTAAATAAAAATAATAWAGATTGATTGGAAAGAATTCTTGACAACTCTATTTATGGACGTGAAAAATGTAACATTGGATTTTGAAACTGATTTGATTCTTATATATGATATTAAATATTTTGAAGCTCTAATCGAATTAATCAGTAAACATAAAAACCAAGCTTGTAAGTATATCTAAACCTACCATTGGTTTTATATGTGTATAATTTATATATAATATAGCCTTCAAATCGGTTATGGTCAAATATTGTGAGATTTGATTCATCTACAAATTATTAGTAGTATACATTTCGTTAATATTTTTTTTATAAATTTTATTTGTATCTTCATATTATTTCAGTAATCAATATATGGTGGGAAGTAATTAAAAATCTTTTGCCATACACTTCAAATAAGATGCGATTTATACAAGATAGATTCTACTCTGAAACAACYGGATTAGAAAATAATCCTTCAAGATCACTTTATTGTGCAAATGCTGTAAACTCAATTATGGGAATGGCAGTGTCACGTTTATTGTTAAATATGGAATCGATTTATAATAACACAAAAATGGTAGTAAACTTGAAAATACTGAATTATTGCATTCACAAATAATAGTGATGTATTATGTAGGTGAGTGAAATGTTGAAAAATATACATTGGGCGTTCGAAAAAATAGTCAAAGAGTTAAATTGGATAGATGATACGACCAAACAGAAAATACTTTACAAGGCACAAAAAATGAATGCGTTAATTGGCTTTCCTAAATTCATATCTGACTCGATTAAACTCGATGATTATTACTCTAAAGTAACTATTTCATTAACTTGTGTTGAATATTTATACTGTTTGAATGATTATTTTGAATATTTGTTTTAGTTTGAAGTTATAGATAATGACTATTTTGGTAACATTATACGTTATATTCAACGAAAAGTGGACAAATCGTTAATGAGCATTGGACAGATCAATAATTTCACTAGCATGTGAGTAAAAACTTATAATATTTGATAAAAAATGTAACTATAAAATCTACACATATTTTTAGTTGGGAATTAGAACCYCTACAAGTGAATGCAGCACACTCGTACCAAGCAAATGCAATAAGTAACTAATACTAATTTAAAAATGTTACAATATTAAATTTAATAATTACTTAAACCAAACTTTAATATATTTTTAGCTRTTCCAGCTGGTRTATTACAATTTCCTTTATTTGGACATGATTTGCAGTATGTTGAAGTTTGACTATTAAACATAAATTAATGTACTGATTGGTAATTATATTAATTTAAGGATGCTAAACTATGGTTTTGTTGGTATAACATTGGCCCATGAACTAACACATGGTTTTGACAATACTGGCCGAAAGTTCGATCAAGATGGAATTGAAAATATATGGTGGACTAATCAAACTATCTCGGAGTATAAAAAACGCGTCAATTGTTTCATTGATAATTATGAATCTTATCTCGTCCCCTATATAAAAAAAAAGGTATTTTGTTACCTTTACAGTTTCAGTTTAAAAAATATTTTGAACAGGGTTATTTATTTCAAATTCATCCATATATAAAAAAAAAGGTATTTTGTTACCTTTACAGTTTCAGTTTAAAAAATATTTTGAACAGGGTTATTTATTTCAAATTCATCCATATATAAAAAAAAAGGTATTTTAGATTCAGAGTGAAGAGATAAATGTATTGATTTTAAAATGATGTGGTTTTTTTTTTCTGTATATACGATAACGATAAGTAGTCAAAATKATGCAATGATTTTCATTTTCAGTMACTTTTCCGGTGGGAAAATGAATCTTGTATAGGTACATTAGAGAAGACAAAGTTTAAAATTGCCAGTAATTCTGAAAACGCCGGCAAAAACAAAATAAATTAAGGAAAAACGAGAATTATCACGTAAAATTAGTTTTTGACAAAAATATTTTGGTTTCAGAGAATTATAACTCATTTACTCACATTTTGGAAATAAGGAAATCTACTATTCTATTTCAACATAAATATATTTTTGTGCTGACAACAACTTTTTCTGCTGATCGATTTTTGCATAGCCATTTTTTATAATGCTTAAAACATTTATTATTGCTACTATTTAAACTCTCTCCCACCACCAAAAAAAAAA